AGGAATGCCTTGCCCTGTGGGACGTGATGTGGGACTCGAGAGCATGTTGCACCATCCTTTGGCTGCCACGCCATCATGGGCTGCAGAATGCTTTTAAGGTGTGTTTTGGACTGACCTGCATCACCATTTTGTGATGGCACAGAGCCACGGGCAGAAATTAGATGTTTTCTGTCCTTCCTCAGAGGTTCCTACTCCTGATACTGAGGGTGGCTCGGCAGCCTGTGAGGTAACTGCAGATTATAACTTAGCCTCGTAAGGAGGGCTGACATTGACTTTTGGACTTCCTTAGCATGCCCAGCTGTAGTTTCTGTCTTCTCAGCAGCTGTTTCACAGTCAGCTGGTCAGTTAGTGGGTGCCAATATCTATGTCCAGTGAGTCTTAATCTACCTCAGACCTTCCAGTTTACCACTGCCCCAACATTTTCCCTAGTTACAAGTTGTCTCAAAGTTCCCATCCCACTAAATCCTGTGGCATTGAGTATTTTCTCAGGGCAACTGTTGCACTGTTTGAGAGGCTGTACTATAAACTGGATTGCTGAAATGATTCAAGTTAAAAGCGACACCTCCCAACGCAGAGGGCTGTTTTGCAGTGCGGCCTGATAATCAGCAAAAGCAAAAGTAGAGGAGCTTTGGGCAGGAAGGAGCTGCTTCAGCCTGTCAGCTGCTCCTGACCTCACTTCCTGTGTTCCATACTTGGATTTGGCTTGCGTAATTTTAGGTGTTTGATGAAGTTAGTCACCTAGGCTCCTTTGTACTCCAGGATAAGAAATAAATACCTCTGCGTAGTAATTCATCCTGTGTATTTATTTCTGCATTCTTTGGTCATAAAGGAAGCCCTGCTATTTGACACCCAACTTTTAAGCACCTGCGTTGAAGACACAGAGAGAGGCAGCTAGCTTTGGTTCAGGTTGCCTTGCACTTAACCTATAGTTACAAGATTATTCATGTCAGAATTAATCACCAAGAACTAGCTTACAGTTTAGTAAGTTAATAATGTAGTTTTTGTCCTAGTGCCTTTTTCAGGTAAGCAGGAAGTTAGGCTAATATCTGAATTGACATCTTACTACCACATAAAAGAAGGAATGGCTTATATGAAGAGTCTTGTTGAGACAGAGAAGTGTTTAAAGAACATCGTTCAGTAGGTAAATTTAATATTTTTTTGAGCTACACTCAATGCATTGCTCCACTTTACGGCTGAGCATTCAGGTATTTCTGTTTCTGCAACCGTTTGTTAATCTCCCCATGATATTTAAGGTGGGAAGTGTAAGTCTTATCTTTTTCTTTTAGGTTGACAATTGCATTTTTCGCACTCTCTGGTCTGGATATGTTGGATTCCTTAGATGTGGTGAACAAAGATGATATAATAGAATGGATTTATTCTCTGCAGGTCCTTCCCACAGAAGACAGTGAGTGAGTTTTTAGTTTTTTTTTTGATTGATTA